TTCTGCAGAGTGATTTCCTTAATTTTTCTTTAAAATAAAGTCGCCAATTGTTGTATTCGTAGCAAAGGTTGTTAAGATTGCGTTTCCAATATTTTCCTTCCATTACAACGGCCTGTAAAAAAACTTATATCAAATGAAAAAACTTACTTCAGGGTTTGAATGCCCTTCAATCAAGGGAGTCTGAAATTGTACAACTACAGGCCTTTTGCGTTTAACAACTAAATTTAGGAAAATCATGAAATTCAAGATAAACTTACATTGCATATGATATTCTCTCCAAATAATATTGTTAAGTCTTATTTTGTTTTTTATAGCAAACTTAACACCTTTAAACTGATTCCATTTTGGACTCGTTAATTCGCCATCGTATGCTATTTGAAGGCAATTGAATAAAGTTGATAAATCATCAAATAATAATCCAACATCTTGAGAGCTGAAATTTCCACTAAAACCAACATCCTGCAGAGAATCATGTAGATCTTCCTTGGTTTCGTTGTCAGATTCTTCTAGAGTACTTATCATAAAATGTCCAGAAAGAAGATTGTGAGTTTTGTGATGCTCAATATGAGTTATGTTAATATAATCCTAAAAACGTAAACTAAGCTTATTATTAACAAAATACCATAAAATTCAGAGGTTTTATCATAGCTAAAAGTAATTTATATAACTTATAATAAATCGCGAAAACATAAAAAAATGTTGGAGGCCAATCCCTACATTCATCGCAGCTCGTAAAGAATAAATATATAAATAGTACAATAAAACAAGTATTATATAAATAAAATAATAATAAAGTAATTAATAAAATAAAAAAACTTTTTGTATTATAATTATATAAACCTAAATAATTATTAAAATTTAAATATCTATAGTTTATGAATAAGAATTGTATCTTTTTAGATGACCCGGAAAACCTAATATTTTAAATAAAAAGTTTTATTTGATAGAAGCATATGAAAAAAAGGATTCACTGTAATGCCTTACTCATGGCTATAACAAATTTATCGAAGGTATTAACCTCAA